GTGGGTGGAGGGTAGAATTTCATGGATTTTGAAGGTATGATATGTTTTCTTTTTGTAGTTAAGAGAGGAGGATGCTAAAGTTGATATATATTGGGGGTGGTAGGGGTGGTTGTTGTTATAAAAAGGTTTGAAGGTTTTTTTTGGTGAGTGTGTTGCTACTATAAGTTATTAATTTTTTATCTTGTTTTATTTCAGAGTGAAAACAACAGTGGAGGGCCAGTAGTGGAGGGAAAGCATACAGTTGTGCTTATACGGAGGTAAAGGTTTTGAGGGAGGGATTTTTATTTTTATCCAGACTGAATAATAATACCATCTCATTTATACAGAAGGAACTGTCATTCCCACTGCAAATATTTTTTATTTATTTTAATTTTAATTTTATTTTTATTTTATTTTTAATTTTATTTTAATTTTAATTTTTAATTTTATTTTAATTTAATTTTTTTTTTTTTTTTTAAATTTTATTTTTATTTTATTTTTATCCAGACTGAATAATAACACCATCTCATTTATACAAAAGGAACTGTCATTCCCACTGCAAATATTTTTTATTTATATTTTTCATTCATATTTTTTGTTTTTTTCACATTGATAAATTAATTTTTATTTTATATATTTTACAAATCATATATTTAAGTATAATTAATTGATGTAATTATTTGATTATCGGTGGTACACTTATGAATTCATTATATCACATAAGGTAGAATATATTGGAGCGCGGTACACTACTGGCATTCGTGAACATTTTTAGTGACAGCAGGGTTAGCTGAACGTTTTGATATAAGATATGTGTAGGTGGGCTTGAAAATGACAGAGTGATGGCAGTTTACAAATCATGTTCTGATTTTTCCTTTGCACACTCTAGCTGTGCTCTGCTGCCAGTCTACATGCACCATTCATTCCTATGGGAAAAATTTCACCACAAAAACCTCGATATTTTCGTGAACGATTTGGCGAAACGTTCCACAAAGTAATAGCACACCAATCGGGAACAATCCGCACGTTTTGATATATTACTTGTCTTTGTAGTGTAAAAACTGTGGGAGGAGTTAGGGTGGTAAATATGGCTATAATAATAAAAATAAGAACTAGAAAATCTACAATTTCTGGGGAAATTGTGTAAAGTGTTCTTGCCGCAACCTTTACCAAGTAATGATGACATGTAAGCAGTCCACATTGCAAGCCTGATAGTGAGAAATGCATTTCAGCTTGTATTTTGAAGCTCACAGTCCAGCCTGGTGACTCATCTGCCTCTTGAGTGACCTTTGGTTGCTGCACCTGGAGTGGGCAGAGTAGGCTCACTGTGCTGAGACAGCTGGGTTGCTGTGACAACTCACTCTAAGAGGAATGTCAGCAGTCTGTTCTAAACAGGCTTTTTAAACTTGCCAAGTTCACTGGCGATTGCCATCTTCAAACGCTTGTAGTTTTAAAAGTATAAATGCTACTGTGAAAAGGTTTATATTGTGACAATCACAAGAAACAGACCTAAATTTTGATGTATAGTATGCCTCTGAAAGATAAAAAATGAAGGCACAGTCGCAGTTTAAAAACGTCCCTTAAAATTTCTGGTGTCTAGAGTGGAGTTTCAATGAAAGTCAATGGGAGGGGTGAGGTGCAAACAAATGTTCATATTGTGAAAACTATCAGGAGTATGTCCTAGTCGTGAACATTTTTATAAAAAGTTGGATAGTTACTTGTGAGCCACTAGGAGTTTTCTTTCTATATATAAACTCTATTGTTAATTGATATCATACATAAAAAATTATAAAAAAATATACGTGAAAAATATATAAATAATAAAATATTACAAATTAATTACGAATAATTAATTAATTGCGTGCTAAAATTAGTATTAATTAAATATTAGATCGCCAGGTACTAATCGCACCCTCTCTAGGTGTATAAATATTAATCATAAATGCCAGTAGTGTACCGCGCTCCAATATATTCTACCTTATGTGATATAATGAATTCATAAGTGTACCACCGATAATCAAATAATTACATCAATTAATTATACTTAAATATATGATTTGTGTAAATATATATAAAATAAATTAATTTATCAATGTGAAAAAACAAAAACTATGAATGAAAAATATAAATAAAAAATATTTGCAGTGGGAATGACAGTTCCTTCTGTATAAATGAGATGGTGTTATTATTCAGTCTGGATAGTGTGATGAGTCTGTGTCCACTGCGTGAACCTCTCTCTCCTCTCTCCTCTCTCCTCTCTCCTCAGCACAGCCTTCTCAGTGAGACTTTCTCCACTGGCTGCTTGGCTTAGTCCTCCATATATGGAACATACAGAGAAGGGAAAAGAAACATAGTGTCTTATCCGGGATATCAATTATTTTTTTTTATTTTTATTTTAATTTTATTTTTATGTTTATGTTTATGTCTATGTTTATGTCTATGTTTATTTTTATTTTAATTTTATTTTTATTTTTATTTTATTTTTTTTTTTTTTTTTATTTTAATTTTTTTTTTTATTTTAATTTTAATTTTAATTTTATTTTATTTTAATTTTAATTTTATGTTAATTTTAATTTTATTTTTATTTTAATTTTATTTTTATTTTAATTTTATGTTAATTTTATTTTTATTTTAATTTTATTTTTATTTTATGTTTTTTAATTTTATTTTTATTTTAATTTTATGTTAACTTTATTTTTATTTTAATTTTTATTTTAATTTTATTTTAATTTTTATTTTTAATTTATTTTTAATTTTATTTTAATTTTAATTTTTATTTTAATTTTATTTTTTTTTTATTTTAATTTAATTTTTATTTTATTTTTATTTTTATCCAGACTGAATAATAATACCATCTCATTTATACAGAAGGAACTGTCATTCCCACTGCAAATATTTTTTATTTATTTTAATTTTAATTTTATTTTTATTTTATTTTTATTTTATTTTAATTTTAATTTTTAATTTTATTTTAATTTAATTTTTTTTTTTTTTTTTAATTTTATTTTTATTTTATAGCCATATTTTTAATCCTCCCACAGTTTTTACACTACAAAGACAATAATATACCATCAAAACGTGCGGATTGTTATTGGTATTACTTTGTGGAACTGTTTCGCCAAATCTGCACGAAATATCGAGGTTTTTTTGAAATTTTTCCCATTTTTGAATGGTCATGTAGACTGGCAGCAGAGCACAGTAGAGTGTGCAATTGAAAAATTAACATATTTTTAAATATCACTCTGTCATTTTCAAGCCCACCTTTAAACATAATCTTATATCAAAACGTTCAGCTACCCTGCTGTCACTAAAAATGTTCACGAATGCCAGTAGTGTACCGAGGAACTGTCATTCCCACTGCAAATATTTTTAATTTATATTTTTCATTCATAGTTTTTGTTTTTTCACATTGATAAATTAATTTATTTTATATATTTACACAAATCATAATTTAAGTATAATTATTGGATGTAATTATTTGATTATCGGTGGTACACTTATGAATTCATTATATCACATAAGGTAATATATTGGAGCGCGGTTACTGGCATTCGTGAACATTTTTAGTGACAGCAGGGTTAGCTGAACGTTTTGATATAAGATATGTGTAGGTGGGCTTGAAAATGACAGAGTGATGGCAGTTTACAAATCATGTTCTGATTTTTCCTTCCAACTGTAGCTTTCTCACTTCTCACTCTAATGTGACTCAGCTGCCCCCTGAGTGACCTTTGCTTGCACCTGTGACTCAGTCAGTCACAGGTGTGTGAGAAGCTCTGCTCTAAACAGGCTGTTTAAACTTGCCAAGTTCACTGGCGATTGCCATTTTCAAACGCTTGTAGTTTTAAAAGTATAAATGCTACCGTGAAAAGGTTTATATTGTGACAATCACAAGAAACAGACCTAAATTTTGATGTATAGTATGTCTCTGAAAGATAAAAAATGAAGGCACAGTCGCAGTTTAAAAACGTCCCTTAAAATTTCTTGTGTCTAAAGTGGAGTTTCAATGAAAGTCAATGGGAGGGGTGAGATCCAAACAAATGGTCATATTGTGAAAACTATCAGGAGTATGTCCTAGCCGTGAACATTTTTAGTGACAGCAGGGTTAGCTGAACGTTTTGATATAAGATATGTGTAGGTGGGCTTGAAAATGGCAGAGTGATGGCAGTTTACAAATCATGTTCTGATTTTTCTGATTTTTCCTTTGCACACTCTAGCTGTGCTCTGCTGCTCAATGCATTCCTATGAGAAAATTTTGCCGCAAAAAACCGCGATATTTCTTGAACGATTCGGCGAAACATTCCACAAAGTAATAGCAATCCGATCGGGAACAATCCGCACGTTTTGATATATTACTTGTATTTGTAGTGTAAAAACTGTGGGAGGAGTTAGCGTGGCAAATATGGCTATAATAAGAATAAGAATATATATGTGAGAATACAATAAGTGTTCCTGCTATGCAAGAACACTTAACTATATGCTTTTCTTGTGTACATCTGAGGTTTGAACTAAATTGCATTTTAACTGTTGTCATTTCTTTGATCATGTGTATGAACTACAAATCACCAGTCAGTTTTGTATAAAATATACATGACTATTCTTGTATATAAATAAATTATCTTTATTTATTAATCAAATTTGGAGATATTTGTATATCTGGTAAGAAATAACATTAGTAAAAGGACTCAGGAGAGTAATATTGTGGTGGTATATTTTATTAAGGTGTCTGAATTATTTAATATTATTCATGAAGTTGTTTTGCCATAACAGTTGGAGGCACTGTGATATAGTTATATATGTAAGTCAGGCACTGTCCTTATATGCATAATTCAGATTGCTTGTCACTATCACATTAACCACTTTCAGTGTACTGTAGACAGGCAGCAGTTACACGACCAGCGACATACCCGTACGTCGCTGGCCTTCTGTCAACTGAGGGGGGACGCTGCACATCTGAGGTGGCATGCTACCCTGCCCCCCCCCCCCCCATGTCTGCCGTGTCCACCAGACACAGCAAAATGAGAATCACGGTAATCGGGACCCAGTGCGATCACATGGTCACAATGACAACAAAGCTTGCATGAATCAATCTGACTCATAAAAGCTTTGCTTGTGTTCCTAGAGAGCTGTGATTGGTCCATAGCTCTCACATGACACATGGGGCCAATCACAGCACTCTGTACCATGTGACAAGCTGGAGCCAATCACAGATCACTATTATGTTGAACTCTCACAACCTTAACTCATTCATGACAGTTCAAAGCAAGCTTCGCATTGCAGAGCAATGATTTACATTGCTCATGCAATGCAAAGTATATATATAAAAAAAAACCCTGATCACCCCCCAGAGTAGTACAATGTTACTATGGTAACATTGCACTACTCTGATGAAAGTATTTTAAAAAATAGTTAAAAAAAGAAAATAATGTTTTAAAAAAAAGTTTAAAAAAATTGAGAGAAATTTTTTTTTTAACTACCTGTCAACAATGTGTGGGTGAGAGGCGGCTCTGGGCAAAGCGGCGTAAACTTATATCGCTTTCTATTTTCGGGTGTGCGTGCGCATGTGTGTGTGCCCCTCCGCTGTCCCCGTATGCTGTCAAGGGAGAGAAGAACAAACATGGCACGAGTAAAAGATCCTACATTTTAAACGCACATTATCACAATTAACTCTTTGATCACCCCGTCACTCATCTAGTACCATTAGTACAGTGTCAGCATATAGAATTTTTCACTGATCACTGTATTACTGCCACTAGCGACATCATATAGTCTCAGTATCAGTTAGCACCCCCCCCCAGCCAGGGTCAGCTAGCGTTAGTTTGCCTGCACATTATCGCACTCATGCTATAGGTTGCTGATCACCAACATTACTAGTATAGTGTTTGTACCGATCAATATATTGATCACAAACAGAACTATATTAGTGCCTCCTTTATTTATTGTCCCCAAAAACGCAGTGTTAGCAGGATCAGCCCCGTTTGCTGCCAGTACTAACACTTAGCCCCTCTGCTGTTTTTCACAGAATATTTGTATCAATTGATTGTGGGTCAAAGCAATTTATATGCACAACAATACATCGCCACCCGCTCAAATTCAGCTCTTACCAGACAATTTGCATGGAAACTTATCACAGTTTTTGAATTTAAAACTTTTTTGGGCCTAACCTCAACATGGGCATTACAAAAAACAATGAATTGCGGTCATATTGGTCCACAGACCCAATTCATCATATGCCTACGTTCTCTGCTGTTACATATATGTCCAATATGAACCAGCAACATACTGGTGCTTCACTGCACCTTGAGCGGTTATACCGGGATAATGCCTGCAGCTACAGGCATCATCCTGTATTGTTTTTTTCAGCTGGCAGTCGGCTTTCATGTAAAGTCAATCCTAGCCGCTAAATATCTGCTGGATCGCTTTTACAAGCACCGGGAAGGGACTCCCCCCACCCCTCACGCTGCCTTCCAAGGTTTTCTTAGGCTCTCCGGTCCCACCGGGGAACCCAAAAATGCAGCCAGCTGTTCCACTGGCTGAAAATAGAGCTGTTCGGGGACTGGAATGCCTCCAATCATCTCTATGGTCTAAGAGACCAGAAGCTATGATCATTTCATCATTTCCATTTCGCTGGATATAAACAGTGCCATTTTTAAATTGGAAAAGCATCTGATCACACCGATCTTGATGTGATCAGATGCTTTAACCCTTTGAGGACCAAGGGACATATTTGTCCCATGTTTTTAATTGCGTGTATCATCTGATTAAGAACGTAAAACTCTTTTTTTTTTTTTGGTTTGAGTCAAAATATTAGTTCTTATCAACAAACAACAAATGGATCTAGCTTTTTGCCAATTATTTCATGAAATGGCTTAGTTACAGCAACTGAAGTGTACGAACTTTAAAAACAAAAACATTGAATCTTACGGTCCTCAAAGGGTTAAGGGCAGAAGAGAGATCTAGAGTCTAATAGTAAAAGAATACCTGAAACTGCCTATTGCTATCACACTGGATATTTTCATTCCCTTTGATAACAATAAAAGTGATCGAAAAAAAAAAAAAAAAAAAGTACAGTGTAAAATAATTTTAAAAAACAAAATAAATAATATAAAAAAAATTCACCCCCACTCCCGTGCGCAAATGCAAACGCAAGCGGCGGTCCCATGGTGGTGGAGATTGCAAAATGCATGTGAGATATCACTGCAAATGTCAGATTGAGTACAGTAAATTCTAGCACTAGACCTCCTGTGTAAATATAAAATGGCGACCTGTAAAGGCTTTTAGAGCGTCACCTATGGATATTACAAATTTACGTAATTTGTCGCTGTTGCAGGGGTATGTGCAATTTTAAAGCATGTCATGTTTGGTAAACATCATTTTTTTATATTTTAGCAAACAACTGGGCAATATATTGTGTTGTTGTGCATTAAAATTTCTAAAAAGTGTATTATTTCAAAAATACTGTGCAAATACTGTGTGACATAAAAATTGTAAAAATCACACCTCTTTGCCCACACTATAGATGGCCACGTGATGCCACACCGGAAGTGATGTCACGCGTACAGGGTCGGAACCGGAAGTTGCGTCAACTTGTTTCGCCCTCCCAAAAGGTGTCGTCACGGAGATCTAATTACCCTATGGAAATAGGGGCTTAATTACTTTATGTGAGTGTAAGGAAGGTGGTTTTTTTTTTTGCATTTTTTATAAAATATATTTTTATCGGTATATAGCAGTATATCATTGGCATCTTTTTCTTTTATGTTTTTTGCTATATGAGGAAATATCTGGGAAGGAGATTCAGTGTGAGATCGCATAAAGAGTTATATCATCTCTGAGGACACCACACCACACCTGCAGGCTTGTCTTTTTTGCATCTTAAAGCCATACCAGTTTGGGAATTCACAGCATTTGGTGAGTGTGGATCTATAAAATGCTTTTCACAGAAGATGTGAGCAAGCTGGAAAATTTATAAAGTTTGATTTAAATAATCATACTTATGATTAAGTCAGGTGACGAAACATGTCAAGGGAAGTGATGTCAGACGCACAGAGGAATCGGACGTGATCCAGCGGCCATTTTAGAATCTGGCAAAACCTCATAGTTCACGTGGAGGAACCAGAGGACTCTGAGAGGTTTGGATATTCTGATAAAGTCTATTTTTAAAGAGGAAGCATATTCAATAAAGTATTTTAAATTGTATATGCGGGTTTACACTATGATTTATTCTATATATGGTGGGCATCGGTGGATTAGTGGAGATTGTTGATTATACTTGAAAGCTGCTATATCTGTATGACATCTTGATCTGGATCCATGAGGCTGTGATGATCCTTGGGTTGAAGCAGAATTTGTGTTAATACCCCCTCGCCAGGAGGTGTAAAGGCATATTATTTACATATTTTTGGTAAGGGTATTCACTCCTTACACCATAGATGTGGACACAGTGTTTCACAAGTTGTTTTTGGATGCATATTTTTCACTCAATTGATTCACTGGCACTGTTTTGACACTTTCACTTTTTTCACTATTTGTGATCACGCTTGGTTGTTTGCGTTTATCACATCTGTTTTATTTATATTTTATTTAAGATAATGCACTATGTGATTTTTCTTTTTATGTTGAGGTTTTTCTTTGTGAGCCATTGAAAGGCTGAATATGAAGATTGATGATTGAAGTTGGCACAGAGTGACTTTTTATAATATTATATATTTATTTTAATTGTACTTCCTATTCTTTTTTTTTTACTTTTTTTTTTCCATATATTTTTGTGATATACTTTTGGGAATATTGGTATTAGCATATTCATATTCACACTATTTGTGGAATAATACCCCAAAACACATTCTGCTACTTCTCCCGAGTATGGGGATACCACATGTGAGAGACGTTTTGGCAGCCTAGCCACATACAGCCCCCAAAATCCAATGACCACCTCCAAGCTTTCAAAAGGGAATATTCCTCATATCACTTCCTCACTACCTATCACAGTTTCAGAGGCCCTGAAATGCTAGGATAGTACAAAACCCCCCCCCCCCCCAAATGACCCCTTTTTGGAAAGCAGACACCCCAAGGAATTTTATAAGAGGCATGGTGAGTAGTTTGCAGATCTCATTTGTGTCACAGGGTTTTGAAAAAGAATAAAAGAAAAGAAAACATTTTTTTGTTTTCTTTCTTTGTTTTCCAAAAGAGATCTGCAAAATACTCACCATGCCTCTTAGCAAATACCTTGGATTGTCTACTTTCCAAAAAGGGGTCATTTGGGGGGCAGGGGGTGCTTCTACTATCCTAGCATTTCAGGACTAACATTAGAAGCTTATGCCAAACGTCACCTACTCTTCTAACGACTTGAAGACCAAGCCTTTTCTGACACTTTTTGTATACTTGAAAAAACATATTTTTTTTGCTAAAAAAATTCCTTTGAATCCCCAAACATTATATCTCTTTTTAATCACTACTACTACACAAAATCAAAACACAACAATACAAAAAGGGAGAAAACAGTCTTCTCCCTCCCGGGTGACAGATCCATCCAAAATACTGTGTGTTTGGCATCCCTGGACACAAAATATAATGCTGAATAATAATCTATCAGTTTCTAGAATGCAACCTGTACAAAGTAGAAGATGTTAGTATTAGTATAAAACTGTGTGTAAGGGAGGGCCCGATACAATCGTAAAACGTGGAGACCTCCCAGCCACCACCCCTTACACCGGGTGATTGGTCAGATGGTCTCTGATAGCTGATAATACCTTGCTTATTGACTGAACTCTGCTAAAAATCAAGGACTTTGAAAGTATTTTTAATTTTCAACTTCTGTTTAATTCTCTGTTGCTTTATTGTTCTCTTTATTTCTTTGTAACATTTTTTTTCTGTAAATATTTTATTTGCACCATTTTGACCTTTTCATCATTAAACCCTATTTTGAAAAGTGTGTTTAAACTGTTACGAAGGCTTTTAACCACTTCCAATCCGGACACTTTTACCCCCTTCCTGTCCAGGCCAATTTTCAGCTTTCAGTGCTATCACAAAGTTGAATGACAATTGCGCGGTCATGCAAACACTGTACCCATATTAATTTTTTTACATTTTTTTGAGACAGATAAAGCTTTATTTTGGTGGTATTTATTCACCACTGGGATTTTTATTTTTTTTGCTATGTAAATGAAAATGTCCAAAAATTTTGAAAAAGTGTTTTTTCTTATAAAATGTAGTAAAAAAAAAATAACCCAAAATTAGTTTATAACCAAAAAATTATAATTTTTAAACATTTACTTTACTTTTTTTTATATTATTATTTAATTTTGGTTTTTTTTACATACTGTTACCCTAGCAGTACAGTGTCACCATGGTGACACTGTACTACTTGTGGGGGGTGATGAAGATTTTTTTTTTTTTTTTACGATTGCTTTTACACCCATAAAGGTTGTAAAAGCAATCATTTCTCCTTCTCTCTGGCTGCATTCTTGAAGCTATTGAGAGAACCACTGTGTGAGCTGTGATTGGTCACAGCTTGTCACATGCTACAAGACTGTTGTGAATAGCCCTTGTACCATGTGACCTCTGTGATCATTCACAGATTTCACACGTAGTAAGCAATTATGTCAGAAGTGACATCTTGTGATCACTGATTGGCCAATCACTAAAGAATCCCTGTCTCTTGAAGAATGCTACTGTATATAATAATCCTTTGAATGTACCAATCTGTGGTGACAATGTGTGTTACAGACAGTTAATCTAAAGTTATAGTTGTCATTACTACAATTGTGGGTTTTTGCTGAGGCAGTGGCGGCAGGGGTGTATCATGAAATCAGTAGGCCTGTGTGCAAGATCAAAAGCGGGCCCTAGGCAGCGATAAAGAAAAGAAGCTTCATAGGATGATGACACAAAACTAAACTTCTTTGGCTGCACTCATGAATGCTATTGCTGGAAGACAAAATAGGGGAGAGGAAGAGAGGAAGGAAGGAAGGGAAAGGAAAGGAAGGGAAGGGAAAGAAAGGGAAAGGATGGAGGAAGGAGGGGATGGAGGGAGGAAGGTAACAAGATGGAGGAAGGAAGTGGAGGAAGAAAGGAGATGGAGGAAGGAAGGGAGGGGAGGGAATGGATGGAAAAAGGGAGGCAAGGGAAGCAGGAAGGGAAGTAAGGAAGGGAGGAAGTAAGGAAGGAAGGAAGGAAGGAAGGAACAGAAGAAAGGGGATTGAGGAAGGGGGGAAGGAAAGGAAGGGAGGGAATGGATAGAGGAAGGAAGAAAAGAAGGAAGGAAAGAAGAAAAAAGGAAGGAAGGGAGGAGGGAATGGATGGAGGAAGGAAGGTAATAGAGGAAGGGAAGGAAGGGGATGAAGGAAGGAATGGGAATGGAGGAAGAAAGGAAGGGAGGAAGAGGAGGGAGGAAGAATGGAGGCAGGAAGGAAAGGAGGGGAATGAGGAAGAAAAAAGGAGGGAAGGGAATGGAAGGAAGAAGAGAGGGAGGACGGGAGGGAAGGAAGGAAGGAAACAAAAAAGGTAATGAAGGAAATTGGGGGAGGAAGGAAGAGAGCAAGGAAGGAAAAAAGGGGGATGGAGGAAGGGAGGGAGGTAATGGATGAAGAAAGGGAGGCAAGGGAGGAAGGGGATGAAGGAAGGGAAGAAAGGGGATGGAGGAAGGAGGGAGGGAAGGGAAGAAGAAAAGGAGGAGAGGGAGGTAGGGAGAGGAAGGAGAAAAGGAAGGAAGAGTAAAAAGCTTAAGGGAGGAAGGAAGAAAAAAAAGGAAGGGATTAAAGAGAGAGAAGGGAGGGAAGGAAGGTTGGAAAGGTGGGGAGGAAGAAGAAACGGAAGGAAGGAAGGAAGGAAGGGAGGAAAGAAGGAAGGGTGGGGAAGGAGGGAAGGAAGGAGGAGAGAGAGGAAGGAAGGAGAGAAAGGGAGGGAATGAGGAAAGAAAGAAAGAAAGAAAGAAAGAAAGAAAAGAGGGGAAGGAAGGAGTAAAAAGCGGGAAGGGAAAAAAAGAAGGGGGGGTATGGGGAAGCAGTGGTCAAAGGAAGCAAGGAAGGAAGGGGATAAAGAAAAAGAAGGGAGGGAGGGGAATAGATGGAGGAAGGGAGGCAAGAGAAGGAAGATAGGAAAGAAGAGAAAGAAAGAGAAGATCAGGAAGGTAAGGGAAGAAAGGAAGGGGGGAGGGAGGAGAGGAATGAAGGAAGGCAGGGAGGTCAGGAAGGAAGGAAGGGAGGGAGGAAGGAGAGAAAGGGAGGAAATGAAGGAAGAAAGGGAGGGAAAGGAGGAAAAAAGGGAGGAATGGGGAGGAAAGGAAGGTTTGGGAGGGAGGAAGAAGGGAGGGGGAGGAAGGAAGGAAGGGAGAGGAGGAAGGGAGAGGAGGAAGGAAGGAAGAGGAGGAATGGAGGAGAGGAGGAAGGAAGGAAGGAGTAAGGGAAGAAAGGAAGGGGGGGAGGGAGGAAAAGAAGTTCCCAAAAGGGAGGGGAGTCTAAGGGAGGAAAGAAGAGGGAGGAAGGAGAGAAAGGGAGGGAAAGAAAGGGAGGTAAGGAAGGAGGAATTAAAAGAAGGAAGGAAACAGGGGGGAGGGGGAATGGAAGGGAGCAAAGAAGGAAAAGAAGAAAAGGGATGAAGGAAGAAAGCAAGGAAGGAAAGGAAGAAAGGGGATGGAGGGAGGAAGGAATGGGGGAGGAAGAAAAGGAGGGGAGGTAGGGAGGAAGGAAGGGAGAGTCGGGAATGCAGGAAGGATGGGAGGGAGGTAATGGATGGAGGAAGGGAGGAGGGGAGGGAGAAAAAAGAAAAGGAAGAAAAGCAAGGAAGGAAGAAAAAAAAGGGGAAGGAAGGGGGAAGGGGAAGGAAAAGGAAGGGAAGGAAGGAAGGAAGGAAGGGAAGGAAGGAAGGAAGGAAAGGAAGGAGAAAGGGGATGGATGAAGGAAGGGAGGGAGAGAAGGGGATGAAGGAAGGGAAGACAGGACATAAAGGAACAAAGAGAGATGAGTAAGGAGGGAGGAAGGGAAGAAAGGGAAGGGAGGGAAGGAGGGAATAGATGGAGGAAGGAAGAAAGGGAAAGCTGGGGGAAAGAAAAGTAAGGAAAGAAAGAAAAGAAAAAGGAGAGGGAGGGAATGGATGAAGGAAGGGCTAAGGGGAGGGAGGAAAAAAAAGGGAGAAAAGGAAGGAAGGAGGGGAGGAAGGAAAAAGGGAGGTAAAAGGAAGGAGAGAAAGGAAGGAAGGAAAGGAAGGGAAGGAAGGAAGGGAAAAAAGGAAGGAAGAAAAGGGAGGGAGGGAATGGATGGAGAAAGGAAAGGAGAAAGGAGGGGGGGGAATGGATGAAGGAAGGGAGGCAAGGAAGGAAGAAAAGGGATGGAGGAAAGAAGGGACAGAGGAAATGGATGGAGTAAGGAGGGAAGGAAAGGAGGAAGAAGAGAAGGAAGAAAGGAAAAAGAAACAGAAAAAAGAAAATTGGGGGGGAGGGAAATGGATGGAGGAAAGAAGGAAGGTAGGGGAGGGAAGGAATGGATGGAGGAAGGAAGAAAGGAAAGAAAGAAAAGAAAAGCAAACGGAGGGAGGGAATCGGGATGAAGGAAGGGAGGAAGGAAGCAAGAAAGGAGAGGAAAGAAGGAAGGTAGGTGAGGAAAGAAGGAAGGTAGGGGAGGAAGGAAAAAAGGAAGGAAGAAATGGGATCAGGGAGGAAGGGAATGGATGAAGGCAGGAAGGGAATGAAGGAAGCAAGAAAAAAAAGGAAGGAAGAAAAGGGAGGGAGGGAGGAAGGAAAGGAAAGATAGAAGGAAGGAAGGGAGGGGGAGGGTGGAAGGAAGGAAGGGGGGAGGGGAGGGTGGAAAGAAGGAAGGGAGGGGATGGGGAAAGGAAGGAAGGAAAGGGAGGGAATGGATGAAGGAAGAAAGGGAGGAAGGATGGAAGTAAGAAAGGAAAGGGAGGGAAGGACTCATATGGATGGTTCCTGCCTTATTGGCACATTCAAAAGCTTCACACAGCAGCCGGCTGCTCTGTTCACAATTTCCCGCACACACATCTCCTTCTCAGAAGCTGCACAGACTAAAGTGTGGGCGGAGACAGGGGGAGGCAGAGAAGATCCAGTCTCTTTCCTCTGCTCTTTCATTGATGTGGAGGATGGGGGGAGGGTTTGGGCGCTGTATCAGAGGGAAAACGGGGCATCAGAGACCTGGGAGGGGGGCCTGAGGAGCACACGAGGGGGCCCAGAGGGGAAATCCGATGCACAGTCAGGAGTGACTGGTGCAGAGGTGGACACAGTACAAGCAGCAATCTCCCTGTATGGCTGGAAGCCCATGGGAGAGAGAGGAGGAGAAGTAGCTTCCAGCTGCTACATTGAAAGCCATACAGGGAGATCTGTGCTTGTAACTGTCCCCACCACTGCATCCCTGACATCTCATCCATGGGTGCAGGGTGTTCACAGCACAGAGGGCCCCCCAAACCCTCAGGGACTGTGTGCAGGGAACACCCTGCACCCATGGATGATACGCCAATGAGTGGCAGCATTTAAAGGGTTAATTCCTTAACCCAGCTTGTGGTCCTGCAAACTGGAAAATCTTTGTGCAGGGATCAGCTGAGAGTGACACTGTTACCTAAGATTGGCTGGTCCTTTGTTAGGAGTTGGTGAGAAGGACAGGGGTGGGGCACTGTTTTTGTCACAAAAGGAAAAAGTTTTTTTGGTTTTTGTTTTGGATAGAGTAAGGAAGGAAGGGTGTCAATTTTTTGTTGCTATCTGTATTTCATAGTAGAGATTTTCCTTCACTTTTTGTCCCAAAGCCAAAACAGAAAGTTAGAGAGAATGCCTCCAAAGTGAGGGAATCTCAAGGTCTCACCAGGGTCACCTGAACTTGTGTCCTCATTGGAAGATTTTCCCTGTATTACTGCTGTCAACCCCAAATTTGGGATATTCTTTCACTGGAGGATAATGGTAAACAGGAGCAATAACTCTATCCAAAATGTAAAAAAAACGTTTGTCTTTAGGAAGCAACGCTGCAAAAAAAAAAAAAGAAAGTTATTCACGGTCTAAGGGCTAGTACACACTAGATGCAGTCCAGTGCATTTGTTTTCTGCATCAACAATGCATGTACAGTGTTTTCCATGTATTCCAATGGCCCTAGTTCACACCAGTGCAGTCAGTTTCTGGTGCAGAAAAAAATAGAACATACTGCATTTTTTCTGCACAGAACTGTACTGGAACACAGCAAACTGCATCAAAACTGCACTGGAACTGCATGTGGTGTGCACTGTAAGCAAAAACATATCCTGAATGTAACCAGAGTGCATTTTTTGTGGTGTAAGCTGGCCCTTACCCTAGCTTCACACCTATGTGTTTTCTGAAGCGTTTTGCAGAAATGCAGTACAGTCCATTTATATTTTAATATTTTTATTGAAAAACTGTAGAAAGTGTATACAGAAAAATAGGAAACATAGCTCACCTACATGGTGAGTTGTGGCAAATAAACAGATTCATA